GGGGACCAGCAGACCCTGTGGGCCCTGGACATCCGTGGAAACCTGTGGTTCAGAACCGGCATCGTTCCCAAGAAGCCCCAAGGAGACGACGACCACTGGTGGCAAGTAGGTGACCAGCTCCAGGGAGGCACGCCAGAGGCCTCCCTGCATCGGGGGCTCTGCTCCCCCTTTTAGACAAAGCCCCTCTCTTTTCCTTAAGGAGATTGAAGAGGTCAGTTAAATCAACAGCCTTCGTGTTCACTGATGAGTTCGTCTTTGCTGTATTTGAGCATGTGAGAAACATCAAGGACTTTTCATCTAAAGTGCCTTGTAAAGCTCCCTTCACTTAAATATGCAGCCTCTGTTTATTTGGGCGTCATTTAGAAGTCTACCATTGTATGTTACATAAACTCATGACATCCCTTGGAAGAGCTAGGTAAGAATGATGTTTAATTCTGAACAAATGTGCTAAGAAAAGAGACTAGGCAGCAGGTTTGGAAAACCCAACCCACAGTTAAAATGCACCTGTCTCTGTTTGTTCCAAAGGCCTCTAAGTGAGGCTGTTTCGGCAGGGAAAGGAGGCTTCCCCACATGGGCCCAGGAAAGGCAGGGCTTTGAGAGTTAGGGGTAGAGCTAATGGCTTTTCGTGACTTGGTACCAGCCAGGGGCTTAGAGTGTGTTTGCAGAGGAGTGTCTGCTCCCCGCCCCCCGCCCCGTACCAGTGTCACACAGCTCCCGTCTCCCATGGTGGCAGGTAAGGCTGTACGGACACGCAGCAGCTGTGAAACACGCAGCCTGTCTTCAGTGTCACATGTCTGGTGGTTCAGGTTTCACTGTCGCCTCACACTTGCCTTGTTGCTCTCAGGTCCCTCAGGTGAGACTGTGGAGAAAGGAGATGTGTGTGCTCTTGGATGAACGTGTGTGTCCGTGTCTCTAACTCGGTATGCCAGGCACTGTCTGAAAATGAGTTTACAATACCTTCTCTGTACTTGGAACCATATTATATGGTTCTTCACACACGCACGTGTATGTATATGTGTACAAAACTTTTTTAACTAGCCTAAAGAAAACCAGATGTCATTTTATCATCATATTGAGAACATTATCTTTGGAGACATTTAACTGACAGAATCATGTTGGAGGTATTTGAAAGCAGAGTTATTTTAGTTACTGTAAGATTGATTCCTTTGTAATGCGAGAGCCAGCATTAGGTTTGGCTGCTAAACCTTTTTTTTTTTTTCAATTTGCATCCTGCATATCAGCAAGTCTTAGGTGCTAGGACTGAGTCTGTCACGGACTTGCCTGTGGCCTTGGCATTGTACACACCCCTGAGAAAGGGCGAGCTCCGATGGCGGCCGCCCGGCCAGGCTGACAGAGCATCCCCGAGCGAGAGTGAGAAATGAGGGCCTTGGGATCCTGCCGCGGGAAAACCATCCCCTTACACATCCGGGAGCGCAGCAGCTCACACAGTGTGAGTCCTCTCACTGATAAGGAAGGCCAGCGTTTGTACACATAGTGAACTACTGATCTTTACAATAATTTCCTTTTTGTTTTTTATAAATTGAGGTCCCTATCATAAATGATGTCCCTGTCACTCAACACTTCATTGCTCGTGCCCTGGGATTGTGGCCTGCACGAGGCTGTCCTAGGAGCAGGACAGCGACAGCCCCTACGCACCCACCCAGCAGGGCAGAATTGTGCTCGGAAGTCAAGCGGAACAGGTTTTGGCCCGTCTTAGAAAGCACCTCCTGACCCCCGGAGCTGCTGGCAGGGAGAGGTTTCCCTCAGAGGGAGGTGCCTGGAGAAGCTGGTACCGGGCTAAGGTCCAGCTGCCTGCCGTTGAAAAAGTTAAAAGTCAAGAGACATGGTTGATGGGAAGAAAAGCAGGTTTATTCAGTGCCGGCATTCTGGGAGGATGGCGGACTCCTGTCCAAAGGCCATCTCCCCGTTCCTAGACTAGGCAGAAGATTTTACAGGTGCACAGGAACAAAGGAACGGGGGAGTCGGTCAGGCAGGACTAAGGGCTGATATCGCTTCCTGAGGTCTGGTCTGTTTGAAGATGATGTTCTCTCTAGACTCCGAACTGGACTCGGACTGGACCACCGAGGCCTGGGCTTTACGTGTATTCCAGTGTTTGGGCGCCTGAGAATTAAGAAATTGCTCTTTTCAGGTTAGGATTCTGTTGATTAAATAGCTTAATAAAGGTATGGGCGGCTTTGAGAAAGGGAACGGAGTTCTTCAGTTAATCAGTGAGGGGAGAAACAAAGAGGAAACAGCTAAATATCAGGGTGGATCAAGCTGCAAACTAAATCTAACTACAAGTGGCCAGATAGCGAGCTATGCAGTGAGTCAACCTGCAAAAGAGCTAAGTCTAATTATGTTATTGATTTACCAAATTTCCCCATACAAAGTCTCCTTCAGGAATGTGGAGAAGCCCGTGGTCCTGGCGTCTTAGCCAGGGTGCCTTCCCCGTAGCAAGGACATATGCTGTTGGCCTGGAGTAATTATGAACAGCCCTGGTGTAGATCATAAATTGCTTCATCACCCAACCTATAATACCTTTTTTGTTTTAAGGAGTTTATTGGGGAATTGGGGGAGGGGAACAAGCCTAGGGAATTGGTGGAAGGGGAACAGACAAGTTGCTGTCCTTTTGTTCTTCAGTCTAGTTGTGGAGGACGTCGCTTCACTGGCCCATGTTGGTATTATCATTGCGCTCTTCCCAAGTGAGGCAGTTACTCGCCGGCCATTGGACGCCTGCTCACGGCAGCTCACAAAATCTCACACTTGCTGCCGGCCAGCCCCACTGCAGCCTACGCTGTCGCTGGCGACTCCTGGCAGCCCAGCTCCAGGTTGAGCTGTTGTTCACCATCTTAGCTGTGCAGCATCACTGGCCCTCATGTGGAATCCGAACTGGGGCCCTGCTGCTCAGAGCTGGCATCCCAAGCCAACTCCTAACCAATGCGCCACTCAGCTGGCCCGCTTATAATACCTTTTGAACCCATGTTATGATTCTGAGTCTTGTGCATTGTTGTCCGTTGGAAATACCTAAATTTAAAAGCCAAATAATCCTTTCTTACTGATTAGAATAAGAGACTTACAGAGTGTGAGGGGGTGATACTTAATCACAGAAATAATACCTGCTTGTAACAGATCCGTGTAGTACAAAAGTGTATAAAATAAAAGGTGAACATTTTCTTCCGTCCTCACTCCAACCCTCAGAAGTAGTTGGCAGTGTTGGTGGTGTCCTGCTGGCATTCCAGTCCTCATGCAAGCACACGCATGTGTATGTGGTTGGGTGTCTGATGGACAGGGGCCGGGCCTCTGTCTCAGGCAGGGGCACACAGAAGGCTTGTGCATCGGCACTGAGAGCGGGTGTCACCCCTCCCCCCCCCAGGTGAGCATCACAGACTACGTGGTGTTTGACCAGTGCAGCTTGTTCCAGACCATAATGCACGCCACACACTCGGTGGCCACAGCGGCCCAAGTACCTGTCGAAAAGGTGGCGGATAAACTGCGCATGGCGTTTTGGTCTCAGCAGCTTCAGTGCCAGCCGAGCCTTCTCGGGGTCAACAGCAGTGGTGTGTGGATCTCCTCGGGCAAGAATGAATTCCATGTCGCCAGAGGAAGTCTCATCGGTGAGTGAATTGCTTTAATTTCCAATTTGATAGGCAGGTTTGCCTTAAAGCTGGCATTTGAAGAAAAGCTTTCAGCTCTCAGTCTGAGTAGGTAACGGTGCCAGTGGTGGGCAGTGTTCCTGACAAGGCTGGTTTATGCTTTGTATCCGTTTCCTTTCTTTAACCTGTCATTGCTGCAGCTGGGATCCCAGAGTCTGGATGGTGGGATCAGTTTCCACTGGGAGCCGATTAGGATATAAGAAGAGCACAGGGACTTCAGTTTAACGTTAATCGTTTCACATTTAAATGAAAACACCCACCCAAACCTGAAGAGCCTAGGAAGAGAGAATAGTCCATTTCCTGGAGGGAAGATTATTGCTCCGGCCTGACCTGTAAATGTAGGTGTCCATCCACATGTGAGGTCGGGGCTTCGTTTCTGTAAATGAACCCCTGCATTGTGGACTTTCCCCAGCTCCTCCCACGTGTAGCCTCCCCTTCCCTGGGCAAGCCTGTGGCGCTGCTTGACAGTGTCCACAGAGCGACAGGGGCAGCTCTCCCAGTGCTGGCTTGTACCTCCCAACTAAGAACGCTCCAGAATTAGCCGTGGGGTCCTGAAGACCAGCTGTAGCCTAGAACTAATGCCCTGAAGTGTGGGTTTTCCTTTTGTTTAACACACTCTTATTTATTCTTCCTAGGCACTTACTGGAATAATGTTGTTCCCCGTGGGACAGCTTCTGCAACAAAATGGGCCTTTGTGTTGGCTTCTGCTGCTCCCACAAAGGAAGGTTGGTGGGGAAATGGTGCACGGGTTGGCATTTGGACAGTTAGAACCATGGTCTGCCTGTGGCCTAGTTGGGATGGGGGTGTGGCTGTGTGGATCTCAGATACAAGATATGCGGTGTCACAGATTGGTGGCCCTTGTTGGCCGAGCTCAGGGCCCCGAAGCTGGGTGGGCCTGACCAGGAGAGGAGGGTCCAGAAGTGAAGCTGTGTGAGCCGAAAGGCGAAGCGTCCTGAAGGAGGGGACATGCAGTGTCACCATGAGGGCCAGAGGCTGGTAACCTCCAGCGACATGCCACAGGGCCATAGCATAGCCGTCAGTGGGCACCCCACTTTTTTGGACTGTTTCCCGTTTCCCTTTCTGAATTCTGTCACCTCCCAGCAGCCTCTGGCTACCCTAAGTCACACAGTCATGCCCCGGCCACCTCTTCCTCTTTGGTCAGAACTCATAGCCCCGCCTGGAGCATGGAGCTTAGATCCAGGAGAGGCAGAATGCTACCCAGTGGGCTGGGAGCCTGGGTAGTCAGGGGACCCCTTTGGGAAGCCGCCTCCCAGGACATCTGTGGTTCAGAGGAAGCAGTTTGTTACTTCAAGCACTAGCACCACTCGGAAGTAGATTTCGTGGTCAGTGCAGTAGAAGGCTTTCTTGCTGGGTCCTTCTGACTGCAGTTCTGAAATCAGTAAGCTCTGCAAACCGCAGGTTAGTTCCTGAGCTGGGCACAAGTTTATTTGGCTGCACAGCCTGAGGCTACCAACAGGCTTCATTTGTCCCCTTGGTTGTGTCACAGGAACGTCACTGCACTTCATTGGGGTGCTGCCTGGCTCCCAGGGGGCTGTTACTTAAATATTTGGTATACCTATTGCCTTAGGGTTTCAAAATCCAGAGGAATTTGAGTTCCAAAACATGTTCACACATTTTAGATAATACTTTAGATAATACACTATGACGAAGGTTTTAGCTTCCCTAAGGGTTATTTGCATTTTAAACTGATTCTGCTAAATCTAAGGACTCTAAAAACAGCACAGGGAATGAGGGGATGTAATTTTCAGGTGAGGATGAGAGGAGGAGGCTTTCCTGCTTTCCGAGCCTTCTCCAGCCGCCTCCCCAGCCCGCCCCTCACAGCAGAGCAGGACAGGCCCCGGTCATCCTTCCGAGGCCAGGCACTGCTGACCTCCCCTCCAAACCCCCAGCACTGATGAAACACCGAGTCAGCTGAGCTGGAGACCTCCCAGCCAGCACGAAATGTCCCGGGTCAGAGCACTGGGTCAGCATCGTGGGCTTCATGAACTCTCCTCATAAGCCCTGCTTTCATTTCTTTAAAATTTCTCGGGCTTGTTTCTTGCTAAGTGGCTGGTCACGGGGTTTCCCTCTGACTGTAACTTAGAGCACACAGAGCTCCTGTCACATGGTGGTGTGTAAGTGTGGGAGCCGGCAGGTGTCAGCTGCCCGGAGGCAGAAGCTGCCTCGTGCTTGGTCAGTGATGCCGTGAACCTTTCCCACAGGAAGCTCCTTGTGGCTGTGCCAAGGCAGCAAGGACCTGTGCAGTGTCAGCGCCCAGCACGCGCAGTCCCGCCCGTCCACGGTGCAGCTGCCTCCCGACGCCGAGATGAGGGCCTACGCCGCCTGCCAGGACGCACTGTGGGCCCTGGACGGCCTGGGCCAGGTGTTCATCAGGACGCTCTCCAGGAGCTGCCCCACGGGCATGCACTGGACGCGGCTGGACCTTTCCCAGCTAGGTATGGCCCTCTCGTGCGTCGTGACTCTGCCTTAAAGCCGCATCCAAATGTGACAGCTGACAGAAGTTCCCAGAGCCCCTGGGTTCCACTTGTGGGAACTCTTGTATGACATTTTGTATGTTGCTGGATTCCAGGAGGTTGGTTAGCCGCTCTCGCAGATTAAACGGGCTTCTTCATTTTGTAGACGCTTTACTTCCCCACTTCTTAGGTTTGCAGGGTTTTCAGATCCTGGGAGGCGCTCATACTCAGAGGAAGTTGCCCAATAAGAACTTCTTGAAATAATGCTGTTTGTGCATCTGCCTCTGCCAGTCTGTCTGCATGTGGCACACGACTTCGTGCCCTTTAAGTCGGGGAGAGTGTCCCCCGCCAGGATCCACAACCCACTGACCTGTCCCCTCTGCAGCTAGAACAGTGCCTAGCACAAAACAGCAACTCAGCAAGTGTGTCTACTCTAGATCAGACTAAGGAGATGCTGTGCGTCTCCCAACTGCAGCTCTTCCCTGAATCTCCCCTCAAGGGTTACAGAGCAGGCCAAGGAGCATGGTGCCATTTATAAATCATTTATTCATATTGCAAGAAGTAACATAATAAAAAAAATAGAATGAGCTCACAGCATTGGGTAATTCTCTGGGCAAATTCTTAATTGCTCAGCAGTTTAGGTGTGGCTGGTCTACAGGCAGAGGCTGGTCTGCAGGCAGAGGCTGGTCTGCAGCGGGGAGGCTGGTCTGCAGGGGGAGGCTGGCCTGAAGGTGGAGGGCATGCCAGGGGCCTTAGGGGGTCCTGTGAGCCTTGGGAACACTGCCATACAGTTTCCCATTTTGGTAAACTGACAACTGATATTTTTTTGGTTGTTAGGTGGTGGAATGGAATTATACAAGCATTTAATGTTTGAGAATTCAATCATATATACTCAGGAGGAAAAACCGAGAAGGAGGGGAGAAAGAAAGCAAGAGGCGAGAGAGGGAGGACTGGTTGTCTGCCTCCCTCCCCAGCAGCCCTGGGAGCTGACGGGCCACTCAGCATCCCATGAAGCTAGTCTCAGCCCACATGGTTCCCACAGGGTGCTGTATAGACATACCTTCATTCTTTTGTCCAAGAAGGCCCCCAAACATCATACAGCTTAGCCAACAAGCAGTTCGGTTCTCAGTTTAAGAAGCAAGCTCTGTTCCAAAGCTAGGAAATTTTCCAGTGTCATTTTGATTATTCATGCTTTTGGCCTCACACCTTGTCTTTTGAACCTAATCTCAGCACCATGGCCGGTTACCTTCCAGCTTTTGAGAACATTTCTCAGCCGCCGTTACTGACAGTACTGACCAGACAAGGCTGCAGCTGGTCGTGGCCTGAATGCTGGCGCTGGGGGACCTTCCCGCCGGCCCTGGGAAGCCTTCCATTTGTTCAGAGCCTACTGGCCCGAGCCTTCTCCAGCAGCCCCAACCAGACCAGTTTGGGAGATGCCGCTAGTTCCTCCTGGAGATACAGCGGCCAGGGCCCGGTCTGTGTCCTCCCACTACTGAACCTTGAGTACTTGGGAGGCCGTGCTCATTTGCACCATCTGGGTCAGGAGCAGAGCTGTTTCCCGGCACCACCCCGTCCCAGGCCCTCTGCAGAAGCCACCGCACTGCAGTGGGTGCAGAGAGGGGGCGCTGCGCCAGGCTCCACCCTGCTGGAACCAGCTCTGCCTGTGGCCTCTGGGCTCCGGCGCACAGCTCCTCCTCCCTTCCAGCCCCACCTAGTCCTCCTGGCACTGGTGAGCAGACTGGAGTGGGGCAAGTCTCTGAGGTGTCCTTGGGCTTCACCGGCGTGGTGGCCATTCTTTCTAGGAGAGAAACAGCTCTGGTGGGGTCGAGTCTCACTTTGAGAGTGGGAGGAAGCCGGAACAAGGCCATCCTGAGTCCAGGATGAGCTTTGGCCCTCTAAAGCACACACAGCAGGTGCTTGCTGAGGGCACGGGGGCAGGAACAGAGGAACCAAGCCACCCTGCGTCATGCCTGCAAAATTGTTAGCAAATCAGTGCCAGGATGGAGCCAAGCCTGGAATGGATCACACAGCCAGCAGGTGCAAGGTGGTCAGGTAGAGGAGGAGTACTCAGGGCAGAGACAGTGCTGGCCGTGCACAGAGCTGCGCCCTGCACGAGATGCTAGCTTACCTTAACCCCAACTCCTCGCCTTTCTAATGGGAACAGCACTCCCTACCTGAGAGATGGTGCAGGTAAGCATCCTGTGTAAGTCAGCTGTCTCAGCAGGTGTGACACGTCCTGCTTGGGGACACTCATAAGCCATCGTTAGCTGCACAGCTCAGGCTGGTGCAGGAGTGCCCACCTGGGTTTAACAGTGTGCATAACGGGGGCGATTATAGGAACAGGGGCCCATCTCAGTCTTTGTCCTGCTCCGGGCTCTACATTTTGTTTACTTACCTGGGTTACTGGCTGATACTGAAATGATGAAAAGATTCCTTTTCCCATTTTCTGAGCCCTTGGGAGAATGCAGTAAGCCCACAGCGGGTAGGTTTTGTGTTGGGACGGGAAAGTGGGCAGGGGGCAGTGGGAGGGAACAGTGAAGACAGGCCAGGGCACCAGGAGTCCTGACACTGGGCTCTCTCCAGGCATGGTCTGTAGCCTGTGGGACAAACAAATGAATCAAGGGTTTCTTCTAATTATTATTAAAATTAGGGGGTGCAGGTTTTGAGTTCAGGTGTGCTCCCTGCCCAGAACCCCACGCAGGCTGTTATCAGGCAGCGTGCGTGGAGTAGTAATGAAGAGAGCGTAGTCATCTAGGTAACCTTAACGCAGCTTGCGTCACTTCCCGGGGCTTACCCAGCATGCCTCATTGTTCTATTAAAAGTTGGCCGTGGCGGGCGCTTGCAGCAGTGGAAGGAACCACAGCGTTTTCAGGACTTGACTCTGCATGTGAGGATTCTGTTTAATACCAAACTTCTCTTTCCCAGCTGTACTCTTTCCTGGCTGCACGCTTCCGCTCCCGCTAAATTCTGCTGGGACGGGCAGAGTCCGCTCTGGCTGTTTGTGCTTCTCTCCTGGCAGTGCAGTCAGGGTGCCTCTTCCATCTACCCCAGAAGGTCTCACGGGCTGTCTTGTCCTGCCTCCCTCTCACTACCGCCAGGGGCACAGCCCCCTTTTCACCATCTGCACTACTGCAGTAACCGACTCATAGCACCAGGTTGCCCACCCCGACCATGGTTGCCAGAGCCATCTTCCTTACACACTGCTCTGGGGGGTGTACCCTCAACGTTACATGGCTCCACATGCCCCTAGAATCAGTTCCAGGCTTCAGGGCGGCACCCAGGGCCCTCGCAGCCTGGCCCAGCCTGCCTTTCACGGGCCTCATGCAGCCGGGCTCTGGTCGCCAGCCACTGCCCTTCGCGTGCCAGGCCCCTTCCTTCTCTTCCCGTGGCCTGGAGTGTCCTCCCTGCTCTCCTTGCAGACCTCAGCCAAGACTGTCCGTCCCCTCAGCTCTCTCAGTCACACCCCACGCTGTGTTCCCTAAGCATTGCGCCCCTGCTCTGTGCCAACAGTCACTTCAGTCCGACTCAGGGTCCTTAGCACAAGGGTGGGGCTTTGCAGGTAGGGACCACGTGCTTGGCCACGCCCATGCCCATCAGGAAACAACTGTCCGAGAAAGTTTTTAGTATGTGTAACTCCATTTCTAAGTAACTCTGGGATGTGAGTTTCAGTCCTTGTCACTGATAGTCCTAAGTAAAACTGCCTAACACGCAGGTACGAGATGTCTTCACTCCTGATTCTTTAGTCCAGAGCAGGTTGCCGTCAGCCTGCCCAGGGCGTGAGGCAGGAGATGCTGGGTTTATGAAAGCTGTTCAGAGAGGTGGTTTACTTCTTTTTCTCTTCAGTCCTGGCCTCTTCTTTACAAGTGATCTGACACTGAAACCGTAAAAAGCGGAAGCCTGTCTTCCTGGTGCTGACAGCGTGGCCTGGACTACTTGTGCCAGCATTGACCTTGGGCATTGCCAGGTCATTGTAAAGTCTGGAGTGTCACCAGTCTGCTCCACATTGCAAACAGAAATCTCAATTTCAAGGATGACTGTAGCAAAGTATCAAGTCATGAACACGATTCCTACCTTTAATTTCTTCTTGGAAACAGAGCATCCCTCTATTCTGCCCATATACAAATTACCAAGTCAACTACTGCTGTGAGATGAAATTAAGAAAATTCTGAAATTAAATGTCTAGCTACTAAACCCAGTTATAGAGATATTATGGAATTCGTGATTTATTACAATCCTAGTTTTCAGAAGAACATTTGCATCATTTAGCAGATATTTAAGAGGCCCACAATATCCCATTTCCCAGTACATAAATATGCTTTCTGTCAGCCATTGGACTGTTTAACAAAGTAATGCGATTTGCAATTATAATTCATCTGGTCACAGCATTTGATGAGGAAATATTCAGTGTCACTTCATGCCTTTAAGTAACAAATAGGATTACATTATGCAGTAATTTATGCAGAAAAGTGTTTTATAAATAGTAAAACACCAAATATATGCCACTTTTTGTTCTAAAATATATGTTTAAAAAGTAATCCTAAAGGGAAAATGTCTGATCTGTTAAAGTAATTAAAACTTTTTTTAATGGGAGGGAAAAACAAAACGGAGAGGCAGGAAAATTGTAGCATGTCTATTAGGCTGGTAATATAGTAACAAGCCCCAGTATGGCGACTTCACTGTGAGCGCTGCTTTCCTGTTCCCACAAGCTTGGCGCTCAGCCTGTCTTTTAGCATCGTTGTTCCCTGGGTGACAGCTTACTGCCCCCACTGCGGTGCTCCATCATCTCTGTCACTGCAGCAGGGGACAGCTGAAAGCCTCTTTTACACTTCAGAAGTGACAGATCACTTCAGCTCACAGCCCACTGGCCAGAACTAGTAGTGAGGCCCCCAAAACTCTAAGGGGCTGTGAGAGCCTGGGAGTGTCTGGGGAGGCCAGTGGTCTCTGCCAGCTGTCGTGACCATCTTCTCTGTGGAACAATAGCATGAACCTGCATGCAGGCAGCCTGGGAGACCCCCTGTGAGGTCAGAAACTGCAGAAAAGTTCTCTATTAAACATTTTCTTCTTTGACCTATCTCTTCAATTCAGAATAAGCTGATTTATACACTGAAGTGTATATTCTAGCAGCCTTTTAGATTTGTTTTAAAAGAATGTTCTCCTTGTAACATGAACTCATGCTCAGTTGGCGATGTTGTTACTCTCTGTCACTGAGAGGCTGACCCAGTGTGTTTTTGTTACCATGTAACTCCAGTCACGTGAGCAGCTACTGCCTGTAGCTCCTGCTAGGGCAGGTTGAAAATTCCCAACATAAAATGATTTTTCAGTTAGCATTTGTTTCTCAGCTGTTCCTGGGATTTACTGCTGAAGGTGCTTTATTTTGATTGGTACACATCTTTTAATATGTAATGTTAGAGCCCTGGGGAATCTGTTTGAACTCCCTGGTAAGACATTCTACAAAAGATTGAGAAATGAAAAAATACAGTTAATTTCAGTGTAAGAGAAATCATCATCTTTGGGAAATGCACAAAGGAATACTGAGAATTGTTTGTGTAGTAGAGAGTTTAATACTTGTAAGTTGGTCTTGTAGTTAAGGCACATGACAGGATTTCCACATAACAGGATCCATGCCTGTTGGTGCAGACACATGGCTGTCATCTGATGCCAGTGACAACTGTGTGAGGTGGCCAAGAACAGCACCGCCAGGAAATCTAGCTGCACCACCTTTTTTTCTCCGTTTTAAAGTAAAAATGACCCATCCTCTGACTTAGTCATCAGAAGACAAACGATTCAGCTTGAAAAATGGGCAAAAGCCTTGAACGGACACTTCACAAAAGAAGAGAAACACGTGCCCATCAGCACATTAAAGATTCTCAACATCATTAGTTTTCGGGATATGCAAATTAAAACCATGATAAGATACCACATCACACCTACTAGAAGGGCTGACATGGAAAAGGTGCCACAACGGACGCTGGTGAAGGTGTGGGCAGCTGGCACACTGTTGGTGGCATGTCAGATGGTAACCTGGGGACATGGGCAGCTTCTTCAAAGGCCGAATATGTTGTACATCTACCGCATGGCCCAGCAGCTCCGCTCCTAGGTGTTATTCAACAAAGTCAGCCCATGTTCACAAAAACTGCAAGAAAGCTTAGAGCAGCTTCATTCCTAACAGCAAAACGGACGGGCACTGACAGGTGAAGGGGTGAACTGAGCGTGCTGTATCCGTGCGACGGGATAGCACTCAGCAGTGAAAAGTGACGCTGTGGGTGAAGGGCACGTACGTTACACTGAGCAAAAGAAGTCACTCGCAGAGAGTGCGTACCTGTGACCTTCCCTGGACGTCTGGACCACACTGGACTCACCTGGAGACAGAAAGCAGAGGAGCAGAGGGGACGGGGGGATTGACCGGAAGGGGCCTGATGGAACTTCCTGGGGTGATGCAAATGTTCCACACCTTGATAGGACATGAGTCACCTGGGTGTATCCATTTGTCAAAACTGAATTGGACAGAAGGTGGAGCCCAGAGGTCGCTGATGTGGAATCAGGCTGGCCCAGCTTCAAACCTCAGGCCCCCATTCGCCTCTGGCTTAGGCACCTTCTGGCTGTGGGACTTTGGGCAAATGTCTCATGACAGTCCTATTGGCCTCACGCGTGGACCGGGATACTGGGGTAGCATCCACACCTCACCATGGCGAGGTTTGGAATGACATTGTGGAGGACTTGGCTGGGAGCCCGTCCTGCAGCCACTGTTCCATAACTTGGGGCTGCTCTGTTTGCCAGATAGACTGTTAATCAAATGTAGTTTCCCTTTAAACGCACTTCGCGTTTCCTTTCCCCTTGAAATCAGTTGCTCAACAAGGTGAAATTTAAGCAGGAAAGTGATGATTCTGGGAGGCCTAGTTAGTCCATCTGAATCCCAGTTAGGATCAGGATTGTCTGTAAAGATGAATTCTCTCTCCCCAGATCCAGAATTTGCTGGTAATAGTCACGTATCTGACGGAGCTAACGATGGGCCCGTGTGGGGAAACCAGCCTCTTGCTTGGTGGCTGAGGGCACTGCGCTGCGGCACTGAGGTCACCTTGGCTGCATTGCCTGTGGCTCAGGAAGGAGACTGTGTGGCGCCTGGCAGGTCGCAGGGCAGCCAGAGGCTCTGTGCCTCTCTTGTGCTGTCCTGTCAGGCAGCAGAGTTCAGCTGCCAGGGTAGCCTCCTCTCTTCCTGTGCAGTAAAAAACCAAAGTTTATACATTAATGAACGACGAGTTATTTTACAAAAGTAACCAGTGTGTGTGCGTTTCCTTTGTTTACCTGAAGGAGCCGTAAAACTGACGAGCTTGGCGTGTGGGAATCAGCACGTCTGGGCCTGCGATTCCAGGGGCGGCGTGTACTTCCGCGTAGGAACCCAGCCTCTCAATCCCAACCTGATGCTCCCGGCCTGGATAATGATCGAGCCACCTGTCCAGGTAAGCACGCGTTAACTGATGGCAGCATACGCCCCGTGAGACCGAAGCTGTCCGGATGCCAGTGGGAAAAGCCCCACGGCTGTGATGTAGGCCTTCCAGCATACGGGCAGAGGCGTGTGCCCTACGCCGAGGCGTGCCCCATGCATTGGCCTCCCAGACTTGGAATTTGATGTTTGTGGAGTTTAGAGCTGAACAGGTTGTTACGGTCATCTGAGCCAACACTAAGTTTTTTCTTCCTCAAAACAAAATTATTTTGTTTCTAAGTTTTTATAAACGAGCATTACTTTAAAAAACAAACAAACAAACAAAAACAGACAATACCCAGAAGTGGAGAGAAGAAAGTCAAAGTCACTTCAAACCTTGTCACAGAGAGTGTGTTCGTGTCAGCCTCTGTGAGCGCCCGTCCTGGTCTGACAGACATTGCACTTGCCGTTGCGCCCCAGCCCATGTTCCAGTTTCTAGTGTCTCCTGACGTTTTCCTCGAGCTCTTGACTGTCCTGCCACTAACAGGAGATGCAGAAGCCTGGTTAATACACTGCTTAATCGCCCTTAAAGAGCTCGGGATGGCTCTGCTGAGTATGTTTCTGTTAAAGCTTATCATTAGGGGGCTGTGATTTATAAGCGCTGTCTGTTCCTGCTCCTGCTGGTCCCCTTGTGTCACTTGGTTGGAAAAAACGTGAAGTTGTCACATGGAGAGGCAGCAGGGGACAGGAGTGGTTAGTCCTTGAACAAAAGAAATGCTTGAATGGAGGCAAGAAGGAAACCAAGGGTTTGGGCAAATGCCTGTGTTCATTTGGGGCCTCACGAACCCTCAGGGATGGGGCGGACAACAGGGGTCCGAGGGCAAGGTTCAGGGCCGGTCCTGAGGCCCACCAGTCCTGCCCAGCGGACCTGGGACATGTGCTGGGAGACCCGCAATGGAACGGGAGCCGGGCCCGGGGTTCTCTCAGGCCACGGGCAGTGTCACGGCCACAGGGAGGCTCCGTGTGGGTCTTGCCCCTTCACAGGGTTCCGGGAAAGCGAGTGGCGTATTGTCTAGGACGGCACCGTGAGTTAGCGCCGTGCAAACCTGAGGTCACACAGGAATTACAGTGCGCGCTCGCTTTTCCTCTGCTCACGGTGCCACGTAACACTCAGCAGAGAGAATATCCTCCACAGGCTTGTCGAGCACTGCTGGTGCCAGCGACAAAAGGCAAGCCGACTTGTTGGTTTCGTCACCGCTTTCAGATTCTCCTCAGGCCAGACACCTGCTTGTTACCTGACGTATGTCTTTGTCGGCACCACCCTTTTTTCCCCTCTAACATCTTTATCTGATTTCTTTAGAATTATGATTCACCCTCCTACAGTCTACAGCTCAGTGGTGGTTAGTATACTCAGAGTTGTGCAACCATCACTCCTCATTCCAGTGCCCCACGCCGCTAAGCCCCTGGCAGCCACTGGCCCACTTCCCTCCTGTATCCGGGCATTTGCCCACCCTGGATGTGCCTGTTTCGTATAAATGGACTCCTACATGTGGCCCTTCTTGTCTGCCGCCTTTCACTGAGCATCAGTTTTCTAAGTTTGCAGTTAATGGTGTAGCCCCTGCCAGAACTTCATTCCTTTGTATGACTGAATAATATTCCATCATGTGGACAGATGACGTATTTCGTCCATTCATAACTGATGGACATCTGCCTTGTCTGCCTTTCTGGCTGCCATGAATAATGCTGCTATGAACATTTAGCTACGAGTCCTTGTGTGGACATATGTCTTCAAGTCTGTTGGGAATTGCGGGGTCATAGGTGATGGCATGTTTAACTTTCTAAGGCACCGCCAAACTGTTTTCCACAGTGGCTGCACCATTTTATATCCTACCCACCAAGTGTGAGGGTTCCAATTTCTCCACATCCTCACCAAATAATTTTTCTTACCCAATTTTTCTTTCTAGCCGTTCTAGTGGGTATACAGTAGTCTCTCGTTGTGAGTTTGGTTTTGATTTTTGATTTGGTTTTTCTACAGGGTTATTTTTTCAATAAAAAAATGTATTGAAACAAGAAAGATTAATTTGTATATTGTGTGGGTTACTGAATGTTCCAGTTTCTATGAGAACAGCCCTGTAGGCGAAGGAAAGCTGATGTGATCCAGTGGGCACTTCCTATTACAATCCAGTTGGGTTTTTTAAATTGAGATATAATTGATGTGTAACATACAATATTAATAATGATTAGATATTTGTATATGTTGTGAAATGATTACCACAGTAAGTCTAGTTAACATTCATCACGATATGTAGTTACAGATTTTTTTCTTGTGATGAGACCTTTTAGGGTCTACTGTATTAGCAACTTTCAAATATGTAATACAGTATTACTAACTAGTCACCATGCTGTGCATTACATCCGCATGTCACTGTGGTTTCGATTTGACTTCCCTGATGACTAATGATGTTGAGCATCTTTTCATGTCTTATTGGTCATTTGTGTAGTTCCTTTGGAGAACTATATATTCAAATACTTTGAATATTCAATTGAAGATTGAATAACCCAGTATTCAGTTGGGTTATTTGTCTTTTAATTGTTGAGTTGTAGGACTTCTTTATGTATTCTGGATACTAGACCCTTATCAGATAGATGATTTACAAGTATTTTCTCCCATTTTCTTGGTTGTCTTTTCACTTTCTTTATGGTATTCTTTGCACAAAAGTTTTATTTATTTATTTATTTATTTATTTATTTATTTATTTATTTTTATTGTTAGTTTCAGGTGTACAAAACAATGCAATGGTTTTCCTTTTCACCCTTCACACAGAAACAACCCCCCCTCCGCCATCTACTGCCCTTTTATTTTGATGAAGTCCAGTTTACCTGTTTTTGTTTAGTTGTAGTGCTTTTGATGTGCCAAGAACCATTGCATAATCCAAGGTCAGGAAGATTTATACTTGTCTTTTCCTCTAGAAGTTTTATAGTTTTAATTCTTCCATTTAGATGTTTGGTTCATTGTGAGTTAATTTTTGTATGTGGATGAGGAAGGTATCTTCATCCAAATTCATTCTTTTACCTGTGGGTATCCAATTATACCAGCACCATTTACTGAAAAGACTATTCTTTCCCCATTAAATTGTCTTGACAGCCTTGTCAAAATCAATTAATCATAAATGTAGGATTCATTACTGGACTCGGCTCTCTTCCAACTATTGGTACGTCTGTCATTATGTAGCTTTCTCATAAATTTTGAAATCAGGAAGTGATTTTTCTTTTTCAAGACTGTTTTGACTACTCTGTGTCCTTCGTATATCCATATTTTAGGATCAGTTTTTCAATTTCTGCAAAAAATGTCAACTGGGATTTTGATAGAAACTTTGTTGAATCTGTAGATCAGTTGAATCTGTAGATCATTTGGGGAAGTTATTGCCATCTTACCAGTATTAAATCTTCCATTCCATGAACATGGGATGTCTTTACATTTATTTAGGTATTCTTTAATCTCTTGCAACAGTTTTGTAGTTTTCAGAGTACACATTTTATACTACTTTTGTTAAATTTATTTCTAAGTGTTTTATTCTTTTGGATGCTACTGTAAATTGAATTGTTTTCTTAATTCTATTTTCAGATTGTTCATTGCTAGTATAAGTTTTTGTATGTTGATCTTATATCTGGAAATGTTGCTAAACTTGTTTATTAGTTCTAATAACTTTTTTGTAGATTATCTAGGATTTCCTATCATAAGTTCATGTCATCTACAAATAAGGATAATCTTACTTCTTTCTTTCCTATCTGGATGTCTTTTATTTCATTGTCTTGCCTAATTGCCCTGGCTGGAACCTCCTGTGCAATGTTGACGAGAAGTGGCGCGGGAGGACATTCTTGTCTTGTTCCTGATCTCAGGAGAAAGTATCCTGTCTTTCACCATTAAGTATGTTGTTAGCTGTGATTTTTTTGCAGATGCCCTTTTCCAAATTGAGGAAGTTCCCTTCTGTTCCTGGATTGTTGAATGTTTTTATCATGAAAGAGTGTTAGATTTTGTTAGGTCTTTTTCTATATCTACTAAGATGCTTATGTGGGTTTTTTCCTTTGTTAATATGATGTATGATGTTGCTTAACTTTATAAGTTGGACCATCTTTCATTTCTGGGATACATCCCACTTGGTCACGGTGTACAGCCCTTTGTGTATGTTGCCGGATTTGGTTTGCTAGTATTTTGTTGAGGATTTTTTGTGTCTGTATTCATGAGGGAACTTGGTCTTTGGTTTTCTTTTCTTATCATGTGTTTGTCTTCGTATCAGAGCAATGCTGGCCTTTTAGATGAGTAAGAAGTATTTTCTTCTCTTATATTTTTTGGAAGAGTTTCTGAGGGATTGGTTTTAAGCATTTGTTAGAATTTGTCAGTGTAGGCCTGGGATTTTTCTTTTATTACTGATTCAGTCTTTTTACTTGTTATAGGTCTATTCAGAATTTCCTGTTTCTTTCTTTTTGAGTAGTTTATGTCTTTTATGTGCACTTCATCTATTACCTAATTTATTGGCACCCCTTATAATGCTTTTTATTTCTGTAAGGTTGGTAGTTATGTCCCCTCTTTCATTCCTGACTTCAGTAATTTGAGTCTCCTTCCTTTTTTTCTTAATCTAAAGTTTTGTCAGTTTCATTGATCTTTTCCAAAGCTATCCTTTGGTTTTGTTGATTTTTCTCTTTTTTTTTTCCTGTTCTCTAGTTCATGTATTTCCACTCCAATCTTTGATCTTCACTTTCTTGTGCACAGTGCTTCGCTTGCTAGTGATTCCCCTGACAGCTCCAAGCAGTGTCCTCCAAGCAGTGTCTGTCACATTTGTCACGCACCTACAGAAGACCTGGCGTAGCCTTGGACTGTAAAGGTGTGCAGGGTCCCAGCACCGCCATGCCAGGGTGCCAGGGTCAGTAAAGGGCTGATGGGTGCAGAGCGAGGTCTGCAGGGTGAGTGTTGGTGAAGGGTGCTGCTGAGCAGGTAGGGGCACACATGTCCTTGCCTCAGCCTTTTCCTATCAAGCC